TTCTCTTCTTGGGCTGGCGTCTGCGATAGAACGCTTTAGAATCGGATTTATTCGGTCTTGTAAGAATGCAGACTTCTCTTAATTGTTGTGTTCCTCCACAAAGTGATTGTTGGTGGGGTTAGAGATTCCTTTATCCTTTTACATCGTTTTAATTGCCCTGTTCCTTGCAGACCAACCGGAAATTATTTTCCTCTTTTCCTAAATAGATGCACAACTGATTATGCGTCGCACATTTTAATTATCTTCTCCACCTGCTCTTAACCGAACTCTCTTTCTCTCTCTTTCCATTTAAAAAGTGTCTCTTTTCAGCTTTCGCCGAAGACCCATAATAGGTTGAAGAAAAAATCGCATCTGGTGATTAATCAACCCTTGGCGGAGGACGCGACAGCGCTTCGAAAGCTCGGGCAGTAATAACGTGGCTTAAAATTATTGAATGTTCCTGCTAACTGCTTTTCGATGATGCCACAAACAAAAATTCAGTTCAACAACTGCGACTGCGACTGCCCAGACAAAGTCAAATTGAAAATCCATGCAATTCAATTAGAAAAACGTTGGCAACATTGTTGCATGTGGCGGACAATTGCATTACAATACCACGAATACACACACATCTCTACAAACTCGTATCTACTGGGCACACTCACAGCGACAAATGTACACGTACAATGTATGTATGTGTATGTGTACGTGCAAGCCATGGCACAAAAAGCAAAGATGCCCAGAAGCCTATATTGTTGCACCAATAAAATCACGATGGCCAACAAGAGGGCAGGCAGCATTCGGGAGGAATCCTGCAACAACAAGAACAATAACAACAGCAGCAACTGTCTGTGTGTGTGTGTGTGTGTGTGTGTGTGTGTGTGTGTGGCGGATATGAGCTCTGCGGTCATTGGAATGCTCCACCGTTTGGCGAGGGAGTGGGAGTGAACCAGGGGAACCAGGGGTGGGGTCAGATAATATAACTGCTGTGCTGTGTGTTGCAATAATGGACGTAAATTGCAAGCGCTTTATGCCATTGTTGTTGTTGCTGCTGCAACTGCTGCAGTGCGTGCTAGTTGAAATGTCGCTCAATGCCACTGTTGCAACAATGGCTGTGTGCGAGTGTGTGTGGCATATTGGTGAAATTAAATGCGTTTACGTTCATTTGATTGTACAGACATACATATGTATATATACAGACATAGCAAATGGAGATATGCACATAGGTATTTTTGTGGTTCCTCCTTCCAGTTTATGCCAGGCTTAAGGATTTGCATATTCTTGATCAGTGGAATGAGAGGATTCGATATAGACATGTGCGCCCGTGTGTATAGACGCAAGGAATTCGGCGAGTATAAGAGCTAGAAAACTCAAACATGGTACATATCTAGTATCATTCATATCTAAGAAGAAACAATTTGTCTCTGTTTATATATTAGCAGACCGTACGGCTAACTTAATCCAATAGTTTTATTCCTAACTGCGCGGCATAAATGTACTATGAATAGTGGACTTGTGCAATGGCATACATTTTTCATAGCCTTTTGATTTCAAAGATCCAGAGAAAAGCAAATAGTTGTAGGTTGGATTTCAGAGACATATAGTTACATTTAATGTAAGTAGGATTTAGACAAACCTACAGACAAACAATCAAATTATACCGATTTGTACAAACCACAATGACATTTTTATACTCTGTACATGAAATGTACAAGAGTACAAGTATATTAGGTTTGCACGAGCTGAAAAATGTAACAGGCAGAAGGAGGCATGGCAGACCCCACAAAGTATATATATTCTTGATCAGCATGACGAGACGAGTCGATCTAGCCCTGTCTGTCCGTCTGTTTGTCTGTCCGTCCGTATGAACACCTGGATCTCAGAGACTATAAGAGATACAGACACCAAATTTTGCACAAAGATGCGTTATGTGTGTATTCTATACGAGTTTGTTTTATTTTTTTGATTTTCCCCCCACTTCCCCCCTATGGGGGTTTTCCCGATTTTCCATTCGTATCGAATATATCTCGGAGACTATAAGACCTAGGAACACAAACTTTTAGTCCAAGATGCCTTGTGTGAATACGCAGAAAATGTATATTTCGGAATTTCTCTCCCCCCCCCCCCTCTCCCAAGCAAATCGCGATTTTCTCTAACTCCCGTAATTCTTGGAATTTCGAACTTAAACTTGGCAAATACCTTCAGTTAGTTATTATGCGTCCGTACGCCGTTTTACCATGATAAACCGATTTAACAAGAAGTTATAGCCATAAATATATTTGCTGCTGCAGCGCTGCTCAAGCGCTGCCTGCGGCTGCTGTTGATGTTGCTGTTCGGTTGACTGCTAACATGTTTACACAGAGACGAATAGATGCGCATAGGCATACATACACTCACGCAGACGCAATTACTAAGTAAATGTGCAATTATACACCATTTACGTGAGTTCGAATACCGAGAAAGGTAAAATGGATCAAACAATTTTTTTTTTTATTTTCTTAATTTTTATACCCTGTACCCAAAGGGTACAAGGGTATATTAGTTTTGGGCGAGTGCACATGGAACACACAGAAGGAGGCTTGGTAGACCCCACAAAGTATATATATTCTTGATCAGCATGACAAGCCGAGTCGATATAGCCATGTCCGTCTGTCCGCCTGTCTGTCCGTCTGTCTGTCTGTCTGTATGGACGCAAGGATCTCCGAAAGTATAAGAGCTAGAATAACCAAACTTGGTATACAGATTCTCCTGAGCCCGAGAAAGGACGAGTTTGTTCATTTTTTCTGATCCATCCCCCCACTCCCCCCCTATTAACGATTTTCTATAACTCCCGTAATTCATGGAATTTTGAACTAAAATTTGGTAGTCACATTAGGTTACTCATTATATATCCATACCAAGTTTCATTATGATAGAATGATCGGAAAGAAAGTTATACCCATATAACCAGGCCTAATGCACACATACATACATATGTACAAGTACACAAACACGCATAAGGCACGATTCTGATGTAAATGTAAATGTATGTATGCAGGTATGGAATATTTATATTTAATTTAGTTAATTAATTAAATTAATTTAGTTAATTAATTTAATTTAATTAATTAATTTAATTACTTTTTTGTTGGGTGGTACAGGGTATTTAAGAGTTGAGCCTGCTCGACTTTAGCATTCCTTTCTTGTTTTTATTTTCTATAATTATTGTAAACATATGTATAGAGTATTTCAAAGTCGGGACACCCGACTTTAGCTTTTTTACTTGTTAAGACCTGTTCCTGACTAGTCTGAATGATTATTTGCAGACGAATCTGTAAGTATTATCCATAAATATGTAATATCATATATAAGTTTACCTATTATATAGATTTAATGCAATTACTTGCTTGTTATTTAAATTATTCATTGTTATCTAAGCATTTGCTTGAAGCTATGTATTCGAAAGAATTGGAATTGAAGAAACATTAATATTGAACAACGGATTCAAGCTCTGACACAGGCTTGTTTTTAGAGGCCCACAAATTCAGGCCCATTTCACGAAATGAATTCCAGGTTTCGTGCATGCATAAACGCAGTGTATGCGTCGGTCTGTGTAAATATGGGTGGGAACTGGCCTCCCATCTGAATCACGCCCACAATTTATAAGCCTTTTGGCTACATTTTGTGGCTTTGATTGCAATTATCCTCTGCATTTTGTATACTTGTATATTTGCTACACTTTTCCCAATTGTTGTGCGTTCGCCTCACTTTTGTGCACCGGCCATTGCCATTTGTTGCCAAATGTGCAAATAAACTGCATTGTCACGTTGGCAACGCCAGCGACAGCAGACAACGGTCCCCATAATCACAATTCTATAGTATGAAAGTCATGCAGCACACAGCCTGCAACATGCAACAACCGCTCACAGCACTGGAAGGCAGACAGACAGACTTTTGTTTGTTCCCCCTTGTGCTTGCCGGCCGTGATAGGCTTCACCAACAGCTTTCAATTTTCATTGGCCAGTTTATTAATTGTGAACTTCAATTCTGCTTTGATGAGGTGCATGCCACACATGGGAAGGGCACAACATCGTTGCAAAAAACTTAATGTTCATACTTAGATAGATTGATTTCGTGCTTGTTTTTGTTTCGTGTTTTTGATTTCTTCTCCTGACGTGGTAACAAAATACTTAGAGGGGATAGAAGGACTGCACCTCACACATTCTTGATATCGAGCTCGTGCCAAATTATAAGGCTATTAGTTTTCAATGCTAATCAAATTTTGTTTGTCACGTAAAGAACTGAGTTCTTAACATAGCCAGTACAGAGTATGTTTATAAAAATGTCTACTAATCAAATGCACCTTCAAAACAAACCAACTAATAATTTTTTATGAACATTTATCTTCAATGGAAGTTTAGCGTATTCTTGATGTGATTGTTGCCAATAATAATAGCACTTGGATGATACAGATTAGTTGTTTTCTAATTAATACTAATCTTGTCATCAATAGTTAGCCGGACTGGCTATCAAATTTGCCGCCACCGGGTTGGATATTTTTTTTCTATTTCTGTTAATTTTTCTCTTTTTGCCTTCTTCGCCTAGATATGTGTCTCTTAAGTAGAATTACATTTTCTCCTCTACTATCTCTTTATTTTTAGTTGTGTAGGTGCAGAATGTCTCTGAGAAGATATGGCTGTGATTGGGGGCATAGCTGACCAAATGGCAAATAAAACTCCCCCAGCGTGTCGGAGACTATTAATAGATAATAGTATAGTTATTAGTTAGGCTTTCTTAATTTTTTAAGTTTAAATTATAACTTAAAATTAGTAAACTGTATTGACAGCATTATTTGTTGAAATATTAAATAAATAAATAAATTATGAACACAATTCGATGGGTAATAAGTATAAGTTTAAATGATAATTTGTGTAATTTGTAATATGGTTTTTATAACAGCTATGTGATATATAAATAGTAGTGATCTGTCATGTTCAGTCTCGACCAAGAAGCCTCAGTGCAAAGCATTACTGCGATAGCTCTTCAGTTGTGGAAAGGGTAGATTTATTTATTTATTTAGATTTATTTTGTCATGCTGAACGTTTACATATATACATTTATACATTTGTATAACATGTGGTGTACCATTCTTCGGTCTAGATGTTACAAAAACAAAATACACATGAAGCAGCAGTTGAGCTTACATTTTGAAACATTCGTGAAGCTAATACAAATTTGTTTGATTGTAATTATTGACCATTAATATATGTATTTTGTATAACTTTCAAGATTGCCCCCAACGAGATGGGAGTCCTACCCCACCCGGATAGTTTCGACTGTTCAGATTCTGAATCATATAGTTTACAAAGAACTCCTTCGGGTTCTCTGGATCTGCTTCGACCATGGCGCGCTGAACGTTTCTCATAAGCGCGCAGGACTCTGACGTTTGCGTCTGAAAGGCAGTAGAGGAGGTGCAGAAGTTTCTCTTCCTTCGCGAACGCATCGGCAACGGTACCAAAAATTGCACGGGAGCAATACCAAGGGGCGGCTCGTTTGGTGCATCCAGCCACAACGCTGGCCGTCGATCATTCTCTGATTCTTCATCGGGCACATTTCCCAGAGCATGTTCATTTTGGTCCATGGTCTTTCAGGGGGACGGTTTGTTTTCTTTTTAACGAGTAACACGGCAGCTAGGAAGCTGCTACTTTTTTGGTTTCTTGTGTTTTTTTTTGAAATATTTAATTATGAAGTGTGTCAACAAAACGAATGTGTACTGAAGGTTGTGCAGGAATGAAAACAAGCAAACGAATACAGCGCCTTCTTTTGTTTTCAATATTAAGTTTTAAACAAGAAAGGAATGCTACAGTCGAGTGGGATCAACTCTTAAACTTGTCTTGTCACCCTAATCAAAAATATATGTATGTACTTGGTGGGGTCTAACACACAGAAGAAGGCGTGTTCTGTGTGTTACATATACATACACTCGGGTGCAGGTTATAAAAATAATGTAGACATTCAAATTCTGAAGAGCTGTTAATAGTTAAATAGATCTTTTGATGCAGTAACATAGGTTTTTATTTTCTTATAGCCACACAGCGCCTAATATCTGAATGCGTAATGAGATTACAAATATTCGGTCCAGTTCATCCCCTCTTGATGTGCTTCATTTCTGTACAGGCAAAAGTGCATCTCATACCATGTATTCCCAAGTGTGCGAAAAACAAAACTTGGCGACTAACAGAAATAGTTAGATTAACAAACAATTTCATAAGCGATAAGATACAATTATGTAGCCATTAGATACACATTCAACAGTGACAACAGAAGAACCGAAGGATTCATATCTGTGTACATATATCGACAAACGACATGAAGCCCAACTACTTGAACAGCAGCAGCAACAACAACAATGCCAGCTTTATAGACTCGTCTGCCCATTATGCTCGACCGTCGGATGTTCCCCAATGTCCCCGGCAGTCCGCTACAAATGGAGAAATGCTGTCTGACATTTGTGGGGCCTCTGCCTCCGCCTTCCCACATATACACACACACACACATACATATATATATATATATATAAGTACACACAGAATGTGAACGAGCCACCCACAATGATTGGACACGCTTTTAGCCCTCTATTTAACCCAATGGCGACTCACTTTTTCGTGTGCGGGCTGCCATCATCATTACAAGCAATTTAACTCATCGTCGTAATGTTGCCAATGCGCGCGCCACAGCTGCCCAACATTGTTGTTGCCGCTGTGTATAAAGTTGCTCTTGGCATTGTGCTTGGTTCGCCTTTGGCTTATTAAGCGAAGAGAGGAGACTGCTTGCCTGCCTGCCTGCCTGACTGCCTGTTTGTAATGATGGCACATTATGAACTGTAAATGAGCCCATTACGCCCCACATTACAATTACGGCAGATTGGCTCGCTGTCGGTTGGTTGTCCGCCCCAAGCTGGCGATTGGAAACGTAATTAATAAGCTTCAGACATGCGTTTAAATAATTATCGTGTTTTGTGAACGAAGGGAAGTAGGAAATATGAGTTTATAACAACGAAAACAAGAAATCCCTGGTGCATTGATTTACAACTCAATTAATTGAGGCGACTTTGCTCCAATTGCTACGCCAACAATTGAGGCATTTTAAACATTTCAGACAATTGGCGTGCTTTTATGGACTTATATAAATAAAGAGCGCCGGAGCGACACACACGCACACATGCAAACACACACCGATAGGGCCACGCGGAAAAAGCAAAAGCAAAAAAAAAACAAAAACGTTTTTCACGCATCCAACAAGTTACCAGCTGGCAGCATGTTGCTGGCAACATGTACCAATGCGGCGACGCAGACGCTCTCAACACTGCAAAGAAGTGGCAGCTCTCTTTCTCTCGCAGCCACACACACACACGCAACTGTGCATGTTGTTGCCATTATTGTATTAATCACTAGTGTTGTTGCCGCTGCGCGCTGCTTGCAATTTATTATGGCCGCTGCGTGTCACTGTGTGTAATCACATTGTTGCCATTTTCACTTCATTATTTTTGCTTTTCAATGTATGTATGTATGTATTCAGTACTTATTTGTATGTGTGACAGTTTTGTTTTAATGCTGCCGCTGCTGCGGCCCAACTGTGCATCCTTGGCTTCATGTTTGCGTAAGCTTTGGCGCTCTTTCATTCGCTCTGTCTCTCTCCCTCTCTCACTCTTTCTCCCTTGCTCGCTCGTCGCATGACATCCTGCTGCGTTTGTTACCTTTCGCTGGTCACTTACGCTTCGGCTGGTTAAGCAACGAGGCCAGGACACTTATAACACCGACATTAACTACATCATGCGTACTCGCCTATATACACATATACGTCCCTGGCACGACCTTGTTGTTGTAGTTAAGCAGACATTTGTGGGTGTGTGTGTGTGTATGTGTGTGTGTCTATGCTCGAGTGTGTTTGTTTTTGTCTGCGTTGCTGCGCAACAGACAATCGCACTGTAATTATTATGCCATATCCAGTGCTAATTGATTCAATGAAATATTTTCATGACATGTGTTGCAGCCATTTTGTCTGTGGAGAGTCGTGAAATGGACTGTGTGTGTGTGTGTGCGGATGTGTGTCTGCATCAGACTCTGACTTAGTCTGAGTGCCGTCATATTATCGGTCAGTTTAATGTATTTAAAGCTGCTTTTAATTTTAATTCATATATGTATGCACATAAATATGTCCTGTACTGTCCCATACACATAGTATGTATGTAAGCAGTCGGTCCACTTCACTTTAAGTTAGAAGGGTATATTGTTTTTGGTGGGGAAGCTAACAGTATAGTTCATGTATGTACGCTCAGCTTGACGAGACGAATCCAAATCGCTAAGTCCATGACTTTTCCTCGTTCAACTTGAGAGCTATCGCTTTGAATCTTTGCGTCAAGGCTTCTTTTTGGAAGACACAAATATGTCTACATCACTACACTATATAGCTGCCATAGACTGGGTTTGAAGAAGAATTTCTATTTTTTGCCCCATACAGAGACAGACGGGCAGGTGACCATTCTTCCCCACATAGAACCTTTTGTTTTGTGCGCATTTAAACATATTTAGATTTCTTGTCTTTCATTCTTCTCCAATTTTCAAATTATCGTCTCGTGAATTATATGCTCCAATATTTTCGAAATAATTATAAAGTCATGCCTTTTTTAATTTTTTGTATCAGCAGTGTTTTTATTTAACACTGTCCATCGTTGACAATCATTAAATTTGTCCGTACGCTGTTGTCCTGCCTTTTTTAAATGCTACCAGAACTAAGATAGGTATGTAAATGTTTGTATTTTGATTTAAGAAAAACTTGGACCCGTTAAAACTAAAAAGTGTAAATATGTTTTCCTAGTTATAACCGTATCTCATTCTCTTTTCATAATATGAGTCATCGCACATCTCACAACTATGCATGGGAAAGTAAGCAAATAGATCCCATGATTAGCCTATAGGGGGCAGACGCCCAAGTGGATGGACGGACGGCTTCGGCATGCTTTAAATTAAGAATTTATATACTTTGTAGAGCTGGAGATACTTCCTTCTTCCTCCTACTTCATGTACTTTAAACAAACTTAATATACCCTTTTTAACTTTTGGGTACAGTATATAAATAGAAATATATTTTTGAAGGGTGAGGCATGTTTCTCGCACGAGCCTCCACAAACATAAAATAATTAACATATTTTTATTAAAAGTGTATGGTATGGATGTGTCTACCGCAATATATTTGTTTCTGCCTACAACATACCTACACCAAACCTCCTTCTGCCTGTTGTACAGGTTTGGGATATAGATAAAAGAATACTGGAGAATTATGACTGCATCGTACCTATCTGTGCTGTTTTGTTGATGTTTGGCTCAAAAAGAGCTGAGATTCTAGACTAACAAGAGAGAACGATACAGTCGAGCAAGCCCGACAGTGTAATACCCTGTACCTAGGTAAACTTCCGTCACTGAGTTATATGCGCCCAAAGCAGCAGCAAAAAGAGGAAGAAGAAGAGCGAACTTGTTGCTGCAGTTTGTGGGGGTTGTACTGGCGAGAATTTGTTTCGCTAATAACTTTTCTTAGAATCAACAGAATTGAATAAAAATTTAAACAACAGTAGATATTTATTTATAAATTTGTGTGTTTGGTTTAGGTAGCATTTGAAATGTGGACGCTATTGACGAAATTCTGCAGCGGGGGAAGGGGGGGAAAATTAAAAAATAAAAAATAAACTCGTCCTTACTCGGATCTAGGAGAATCTGGATGCCAACTTTGGTTATTCTAGCTTTTATAGTTTCTGAGATCCTCGCGTTCATCCAGACGGACGGACAGACGGACGGACATGTCTAGATCGATTTCTCTCGTCATGCTGATCAAGAATATATATACTTTATGGGGTCGGAGATGCTTCCTTCTGTATGTTACATACTTTGCACAAACCTAATATACCCTTTTTACCCTACGGGTACAGGGTATAAAAATTAATGCCTGTAGATGAACTAAAGTGAATTTATTTGAACACTACATACAATTTCTGACTCGGTGCCAAAACATTCCTGAAATATTTGTGATTTAAAGTAATGTAGCTTTCATGCGCATTTGTCAGCATTGTCTTCAGCCACTTGAGTCATTTACTGCAGCCGGCTAATTAAATTGAAATATTATTGCATTTAATTACTGAAAGGCATTTGCCATAATTCTGTCGCTGATATTTAGTTCCATGAGTAACTCGCGCTCGCTCCGACTTTGCTTTGGCTGCCCATAAAATGTCAACTGCATTAGCATCATCATTATCAACGACGCGTCGGCAACACTTTTGGCTCCCAAGGCAACAGTTTTAGACCGGCAATCGCGAGAGCGGCCCACTATAGTGCCACATAGGGCCTTTGGGGCCTTTGATCTGTGCAGCAGCCAGCCGAGCCGGGGTCGACGGCGTTGCGCTTGTTAAATTCAATATAGGCATGCATATTTTTTATAGCATCTTCGTAGAGCTGCGTGTGTATTTCCATTTTAATTACTCTTGCGCTATTTTCGTGTTGTCAAACCCAAAACTAATGTGGTCCAACAACAGCAACAATAACAACAACGATCATAACAACACCAGCAGCAAGAACGCCGGCTGCCTGCATTTGTGCAGCATCTTCTTATTTTTACTAGGTGTTAATTTATTTTTAATTTTTATTATTTATCTACGCTGCACGATCTCTGCCTGCCAGCGCTCCTCCCCGTCGTCGGTATGTGCCAGCGTCGACGCCGACGCC